CGCTGCCAATCCAAAGGCCTGCCTTGGTCTCCCACTTGGGGGGCTAAAATTCAGCTGAATGAGGCGATAAACCTTCAACCCTCTAATGATCAAGATTTGGATGGGATTCTGTGAGTAATTTGTGGTCCCGTCAGCAGTGTTGACGAACCACTTTTCGATGCCAGGTTAAGAGCTGGTTTACATTTGCCGATTGTCTCTTCGTGTACCCACATTTACTACTGCTATTAATATGTATACCGCATTACAGGTGGAGCGGCTAATTTTGGAGGAAGCAGGACGTAACTTGTGGGTAGAAGACAATCGTCGTGCTAATGCCTCGACCACGCATTAACGGGGATGGTCGAAGCTCCCGAACTTACAGCGGGGTCTAGTGGAGTACGCGCACAAGAAAGAATTGGTGGATTGGATAAGACAGGGTCACGACCTAGATGAAACAATTGAACACTTCTACGGCGAGCTCGCTCACAAGCAACTTTGGGCGAAAAAAAAAACAGATCAACAAGTGGATTAAACAAACCGCCACCATTCGCGCAGCTTGTTCTTCTGGCCGAGGAACTCACCAAAATCTACGATGCCTTGGAGACGCTACAGTCCTTCCGAAAAAGGTTGAAGAAGGAATTGTACGCTGGATCAATACACTGCGTCGTGACGGTGCTCCCGTCTCGCGGTTGATGCTTCGTACGCATGCAAAGGACGTAGCTATCAAAGAAGGCATCGATACGACAAAATTTAGCGGTACAGACACTTGGATTAAAATATTGCTACGTCGTCATAAGCTAGCACTGCGCACACGAACACGACAAGGCCAAACGACTCCAGCTGATGCTAAAGAAGCTGTGACGGCTTTAGAGCGGGAGTGTTGAGGGCAATGGTAGAGAAGGACTGTGTAAACCGGGAAGCTATTAGACAGCAAAAACGCAACGATCCGGTTGAAATATTTGAAAAATACATATTAATCATTACCAAGTGGAAGCTCGTACCACCATAGAGGAAATGCGATTAAAGCTCGACGAACAACCCTTTAAACTTGAAGCACCGGGACGAAACACGATAACGGCGTGGATAACAGATTGCTGGAACGAGCTTACTGCCACTACCACCTCTAGTGGTTTTCGAAAGGTGGGATTATTAATGGATTATCCACTGGGCTCGGAAAACAACGTATCATATTGTACGGCCTCATTCATGTCCCCATAATAAGTTACTCCATATCCTCATGAACAATAACTAATTATTCTCTGTTTACTATATTTACAGACTCATGCCTCACTGTTTTAACATTAAACGCAGCAGCAAACACATATTCGGCGGTGTGTGCCACGTCCGGCACCGAAGTCATCCCAGTGGGCACGTTGATACGACAGTATTTCATAAAGTGAGAAGGTGCTTATTGCGTAAGCACACTTGTAGTCTGAGAGAAGAGTATTTCACAACATGCTGGTAGACCAAGAATGGTAATTCACTGCTTGATGGTAGATTACATACATTCCAGCAAGCTGTAAAATGCTCCTCTACTACAAAACCACCATATAGTAGTATAGAAATATATTTGTTCGAAAGCAATAGTATTTCGATGTCGTACTTTCAATAGCTAATAATTCCGTACTAAAAATACAAGTACTATTGGTATTGAATATTTTTTTCCGAGCACTGAATGGATACAGGTGTCGTCGAAGACAACGATTCTCCTTCCTGCGATGCAGCGTATACTGTGGAAAAGCAGCTTAGGCTTAAACTCGTGGAGGCAACGCTAGATTCAGACGACGACATTGAGACGGGTGATAGCTATGATAGCGGTAATGATAGCTATATACTACTAACCAATGCAAAGCTTTTAACTTTAAGCTTATTTTAACAAATAAAACAGCATCAAATCCTAAGTAAAATAAGGCATTAACCATCTGGCATCACCAACATATGGGTGACCTTACGACTACGATTATGCGGTACTGGTTTAGGCCCAGCTTTGCCGAATGTTTAGTCACAGTTTTGCTGGATTAACTTATACAATACCGTAATATGGTACTACTAGTAAGCACGTAGAGATAATAGACTCTCGGGCTCACTTCAGAATTCGATCTGCTCATCGCAGATTGACCAAGATGAGTGCCATACTCGCGATAGGTATCGTAGTCGCCTGCATTTCGATTCCACCCCCTTCTTCCGCGACAGTCACCATTTATGGGGAACGGTCGTACGGTGAGATCGTAGACTATCTTCTGGAGCTCGAGACCAAGTACCAGGACTACTCTGAAGTATTCAGTGTGCAGGACAAGTACGGTCTGCCCAAGTATTCGGAAGTGAACTGCACTCGGAACAACGAGACGGTGCCTTGTGAGCAATACGTGATCAAGATCACGGACGAGGAAACGCTGCCAGACCCAGAGCGACCCGAATTAATCTTCAGTGGGTCTGTGCACGGTAACGAAAGAGTGGGTCCGCAGGTGCTCGTTGCATTGGCGGAACTCTTGTTATCACACGCGAGCCGAACGGATGGTAATCCATGGCTTCAGCACCTTGTGAAGACCCGTACTATTGTAATCGTCCCAACCGCTAACGCATACGGCTACAACCACAATGTCCGGAGGGAACTTGGTGTTGATCCGAATCGAGACTTTCCGTACAACTTGGGTGACACCAAGGAGTGCATGGAGACGACGGCTGCCCGGGCACTGAACGAACTCTGGCGCGATCACTTGTTCCAGCTTGGCATTACTTTCCACGCTGGTAGGGAATGTATCACGTACGAGTGGGGGGCTAAGAACCATGTCAAAGAGTCTGGCAAAAGTGACAAGAGCCCTGACAATTTAAGTCAGCAGCAGCTTTCCCGCGTCATGTCTCGATTCGGAGGTAAATTTGAAGATAGTGCTCAGTACTACCCGGACGGCACTATGAATGATGTTGTGTATGCTGTTGACGGTGGCATGGAAGACTGGGGGTATGCAGCATCTTGGGAGAATGAGTACACAACTCCGAAGCCCATTAAAGAGTGTAACCCGTCAAGTTTCGGGGGATACCCAGCCGAGAAGACCAGATACAACAATGCTACGCACCGTGCGTTTAATGTGTTAATCGAGGCAAGTAACAGCAAGCAGCCAAACGCAACAACATGGGGAGACAGCTCGACGCTCTCGGATGAAGCATTGAGTGACTATTTACCAGAGGCTGAAATGGCGGGTCACGTGCCTCGCAACACTCGTCTGTCATTACTGTACATTGATCTCGTGCAGCCATATGTGCTTTGGAAAACGCACCCGTACAACTGTAGCAATGGCCTGAACATAGTATGTTCCTGTAGTCGCGAAGTCTACGTCGGCAGAGAACAAACCCTTATTGTTAGTTTTCACTTTCAAACCCAGATCCTTGTGATACCATCGCGTAACTCCACTCTGCGCTTGCGTATGGGTAACACCAGTCGGGTCATCAGACCAAACTTTCAGCTGCGTCTTGTCCACTATGATAGCCCCCGCTACCTCCCATTCGAACGTGACAGCTTTGTTCACATTGCCTTTGACCAGGACTGGGCTACCCAAGGCACTGGTGAAGACATTCCAGTTCCCAAGGTTAAACCACAAACGCACATTGTGAATGCTCGAACCAACGACGACTGGTTGTACTCAAACAACGGCCGAGTCGTTCGTGGTCAAACGGTTTGGACTTCGCAGACGGTCAAGATTGTGGTGACCTGAGGTGTTCGAATCTACAATTTACTACGACTACATCATTGCCACATCCGGATACAGTACTGACGTACGAGCCTCATTAATCAATGACTACAACACAGCACGCAAGTAACGTTTACTTACTGTAAACCGTGTTGGCGTGATAATCGCAACTACTTTGCATTATTTCACAATAAATCGACAATCTACTTGTGATTTGTATTTAGTAGATGTAGATACAGTAGTAGCACTGAATAAAATACTAATCACACATCTTCCTGCAATGTCCTTTTCCGCAGAGGGGTCAATTCACGACTCGATCGTTCATTCTCCGATTTGACT